GGGGGGGGGATTTATGAAAACTGGAGCAGGCAGAATCTGAAGAAGCTGTGCACCGTAACCAGCTTTTCTCTTTCAGGCCCCGTTCACATTGAGCGATTTATAGCGCGGTAATTCCCGCGATATCGCTCTTCAATGCTTTGCAATGGGGCAAAGGGTCCTGCTAGCGGGTCGCTACAGCAGGACCCTTTTTGGAGCGGATTTTTTACCGCGATTCAATGGTTTTTGATGCAAGCATTTGCGCGATATCGTGCAAAATGCAAATCGCGCGTCAAATGCGCGATTTGCGAATTGCGCAGTATGAATGGGGCCTCATTGTTACATCTTAAAGGAATAAACTTAAGAGACGCTGACTGGTCGCCATAGGCAACCACTCCAGATTCTGTCTACTCCAGTTTTAATAAATTCCCCTCTGTGTGTTTTTTTGGTCTTATAGTGTTCAATAGAAGCGCATGAAAAATTTGTTTTCTTGCATTTCACTGCGACGACCCTCAACCCCCTAGCAAGCTAAAGGGACATTAAAGTCACAATTTTTACCCCTCCCCCAATGCTGGTGTAAGGACTTACCTTAAACGATGCCTCTTGATCTGATCACCTTCTTTCCTGTAGTTTTCAGGAGTCCCTCCAGCGCTGATACCGGGCTCTGATCCAGCACAGACTCCTCGGGTCCCAAGGTGTCTGCCTGACGTGCACGCTCCCTGCTGCATGCATTTAACTTCACTGTCTCTCTCCTCTGCCCCCCCTGAAGATCTCTACTGCCCATGCGCCTGCCCCATCACACTGCACGGCTGCTTGAAAAGCTCCAGATCTTTAGCTGGGAGCGAGCGGCGGAGACACAGGTATTTACCTCTTTGGTAGCTTTTTAAAAAAATGTTTGCATATATTTACTGCTTGCTAGCAGTAGATATATGTAAAAACAAAAGTGAAAGCGACTTAAATACTACTTTAACAATCATCTGCAAAAACCAAAAAACACATATGTGAAAAACGAGCTAAAACCAATGAAAATGCAGAAGCACAAGTGTGACAGGAGAGTTAAAAGTACAGGTTATGGTAACATAGCAATCTAAGGCTTTATCTTCAATAAGTACACTAAAATATTTGCTGGAAGCTAAATAGCTGTGCATTACATTTTCAGGTATAGCTTCCTACAAATCTTTATCTATCAGATAAAATTACATGTAATAGAATATTTAAAAATAACAAAAATTAAAACTGGCACAAAAGTGCATTTAGGAGCCTGATGGCTGAGTATTAAAAAAGAGAATATACTTACTGTATCAAGAGTTTACAATAAGGAAATTAAGTTCTCCGTTCAGTGCTTAGTGTGTGTAGCCTCCATATAGGATATGTTATATGTAAATGAAGGCATCCCGGAGATCATTACCTTCACAAAATACAGTTGGTGTGCTATGTATTGGGTTTCCTGCATTGCATGAATCACATGACCGGCAGAGGAAGGAGACACAGAAAGCTGTTAGTCTTGTGAATGTGCACTGTTCCTGGTCACAGGGCTTTGACAGTCAGCTCACAGACAAAAGGAAATCTGTGCATTAAAAAAAAAACCCCCACAGGATTTTCTTCAAAGCCCGCCCAACATTTAGGGCTTGTTCACACCAAGCGCGCTCCAGGAGCAGAGAAGTTACAGACCGGATCAAAAAACTGTGTCCAATATATTCCAATGGTATTTTGGGCTCTAGTTCACACCGCAGCGTTCAGTTCCAGAGCATGTACAAAAACTGCAGCAAGTCCTATTTTACCTGCTCTGGAACGCATCATAAACGCATGCAAACGCCTTGGAACACACTGAAAGCCCATTTTAAATTTTTAAAAACCGGCCCGGAAAACGCATCAAAAACGCAGCATAACACACTGCACTGCGTGTGCAGAAACACATGCAGATCTGATCTGCATTTGGTGTGAACAAGCCCTAAGCTGTGACCTTTTCAAGTGACACCATAAAGTAAAATGCTGCTTCCATGGTGCATTTAAAAAAGGTGCAAAAAAAGTAATCTCTGCACTCAAAATAGATGTCTGCATGTCCATAAAACGTAGTGGGGCTAATTTATTAAACTGGGACTAATGAAACTACTAGTATTGCTCACAGTTCTCCAAGCAGTAGTCCAGATCCATTATCCAGATGAAATTTGCCTTTACCATGGACACTGCTCTCTAACCTTCTCATAATACAACACTTTACTATATGGTGTCCCTGTGATCCTTGTTAAACGTCATAACCCCCACAGCCTGACTTCATTCATGCTTGCGCATGGGTTTTATGTAAAAAGTGAATCCTGAATCAAATAACATGTTACATAACAAACTTGTGCTGGCATAACAGACAAGCCATGGCTTCGAAAAAAAAAATAAAAAAAAATACACGGGGTCAAAATGTTGTCTGACACACCACCATGTCATCAAAATAGAAGACATACGATTCCCAAGCTGGTTCTGCAGTATTAAAGAACAGCGCCGGGCAATGTAAAAAAAATTAACCCTTACAGTGGGACTAACCCACACTGCAAGTGTTAAATGCTCATTTTGGTCTAGGGTCTAAAATAATGATATACTGTCACGATCCTTGGTCCCATCTGGCTGATAGACCGGTCCCCATAGCTTCTCCATCTTTCTAGCAGTCTAAGGATCCGTGACGTCTACTGACTTGCATTAGATGCGAGGACACCAAGGAACATTGCACTGCCGGAGCGGAGCTGAGGGGGGAGAGGGCGACCGGTCAACGCTGCAGGAGTGAGGATCAGGTGAGTATATCTTCTTTACTTTAGACCCCTAGACCAAAACGAGCACTTAACCTTTGCATTGCGGTGGTAGCCCCACTGCAAGGGTACATTTTTAACATGGCAAGAGTTCTTCTTTAAATTGCTTTTGAACTTTCTACTTGCATGGAATCATTTACAATTGAAAATTGCTCATACATACTAGTGCTCATGTGTACCTGACACTTCTTGCCTATTCTAAAACCAGTAGTCATGCACTTGCTCCCACTGGTGAAATGAGGCTGCTTGACACAATACATGGTCATTAAAATTTTGGTTTGCAACCTTTCTAAATCGACGCATCACTCGCACAGCAATGATGCAAAAGTGAATCTAGCCATGAAGCAGAAGTAAAAGGTGAAAAAAACCCCCCAAAAAACCCCCACAATCTAGGTACAAATATTAATTCATTCACAGCCTACAAAAATGGGAAGTATCACTCAAAATGGTTGTGCAGCTTGCCATAAAATCATTTTATTTCAGATAAAATATAATATTTAAAGAACGGTTATTAACCCAAATGATCACTTGCCATACACACAGATTTGCCAATCATCTGGGGAGTAAGCGCAATTCAACTTACATCCACAATGCTGTTCAAGAGATGATCCCACCAAAATAAGAAGCATTGTTAAAAACTGTTGGGTGGTTAATAACTGCTCAGCGTTCACATTTATGACTCAAAAGCATTAGTTAGGAGGAACATTTTAGAAAGTGAGATTATATTAAGAATCTAAACTAAGCCTAATAAAAGATAACACGTGTACACAGCACATTGCATCAGAAACGGACAGCACGCATAAGCACACACAAACGGAAACAAAGGGCTAAAGTCACTGTGAACATAGTTCATTTTGCTGTCTCCTTCATGGAAAAGTTCAGCAAGCATGAAAAACCTACATAACTGTACAAGCTTTGCTTTGTCAGTAAGGTGTGCACTACTACATAGGATGGAAACACAAGAACATCTGTGAAAGGACATTAAGGTAGCCACACATTGGAGGGTGTCTCACCTGGAGAAAAAAATTAATGTGTGGGGGGGTGGGGCGAGACATCTGCTCATCCTGCATACCCCACTGGGACCAAGCAGTTTAAGAGAACAGGTGGTGATCTACCATCCACAAAGATTTTATGACATATTGGAAAACCCCTTCAAACTGCAACTACTGTACGCCTACCTAGACCAAGCCCGACTACAGCAACCACAGCTCAAACAGGTTGCATCACTTGCTGGTATCAAGCCATGTATAGCTAAATTAAAAAAAAACACTAGAAAGATAAAAGCTATTTCACCTGTGCATATACAGACATGGTTTCAAAAATGGAATACTGGTACAGCAATTGCTGTTGTACACTAAAAAAAAAAAGAATCTGCAGAGAAAAAATGGCAAACAGAAATAACAAGACTGTCATATGCAATGGGATAAGGATGGATCTGCCATAGAGAAAGAAGGCAATCCTTATATACACCACAGAGGACTATCATTCTTTATGGTATGTTGCATCCTCACCCCAAGTGTTGGATATTTAAAAAGACTAAAAGGCACAGACTCTAGCTGATGTTGGCACGCCACACGGCCCAACACATGAGCTTTATAAGAGCTCAAAATGTTATGCGAGTCATTGTTCTTAAAAGAACAAGTCCACTTTTCAAGCCATGTTACTCCTCACTTAGCTGAATCATTGGGGTGCTTCTTTTCAATTCAGCAGAGCCATGCATGGCTGTGCCCACACAGCCGTGTCATACATTCTCAGGATCTGTGAATGGAGAGACTACAATTTGTGTGCCACCGTGGCACAAAGGGTTCTAAGTAGGGATGCACTGATATATCGGCCGCCGAAACATATCGGCCAAAAATTGCACTTTTGGCATATTGCCGAAAGAGCCATGTTTCGGCCGATACATCGGCGCATACCTGGTTTCTTTTCTCCGCGCTGGGCACTGACTCAAAATTTCCATTTCGGTGCACCTTTAGTTCCAAGCGTAGTAGGTCATTAAACTTGTAGTCCATTGAATTCCAACATTGAGAGTCTGTACCTTGGTATGGATGAGGGCTAGAAGGAACAGTCTGCAGGAGCCTGAGCAATGCACCCACAATCCATTGATCGCAGTTGCAACGCTTTGCAAAAAAAAAGAAAAGAAAAGAAAAGAAAAAAATATATAAATATTCATATGCTTTTTTCTTTTATCAATCTGGGTGTTTATTCATTTTTTGGAAAAGCGGAATCTTAAAAGTCAAAAGTGCTTGACGTTTTACTAGATCAGGCCCAAAAAAGTGTCTAGGATATGCACAGTACTTACAAGGTCCCCTATAACAAAAAAACATTGTTATAATAACTATATGATGGTAAAAATAAAAAGGATACAGAGAACAACATTACTTTTTTGTTTCCACATTAATATGCAGACAAAATGGTCCAGCAAGTGACAGGAGATGGAAAGAAGTATAACTGCCAGGAAAGCAGTTGAAGCAATGTTTGATCTTTTAAAGAGGATTCTACATGTAACTGACCTGACCCATGGCTGCTCTGATCTGGCCGCCTGTCAGTTTTTCAGGCAGACCCGATCAGATGCCCAATGCAAGTCTATGGGCAGCCATGTGTAAACGGACGAGTGTCCGTTTACACCCGGTTACCCCCACCTCTGGCCGTGTCCGGAAAAACAGACTGATCAGAGATCCATTTCGCCAGACAGGATCGTGCCAGACCCGAGGAAATCCGATGTAAATGGACGCATGTCTGTTTACATACGATTCCCCATAGACTAGCACAGTAATTGCATTTTTTTCCCCTTTCATCGCAAGGTGGAGGAAAAAACTGTACGGACTCTGATGTCACAGTGGTGACATTCGCTTTGTACTTCTGTGATCAGGAGAGGATCCATGCATGGATCCTCTCCTGATCAGGCCTAAAGTAGCAACAGAGGCAGGCACTTTGTCCGGCCTGCAAATATCTGTATTGGTCCTAAAATCAGACAATGTGTTACTATGAGGCCCCCTTGCATGCTAGGCCCAGTGTGCCTTGAAATCTGCCTAAGTTGAGTTTAAGCCCCATCCCTACCAATGCTAAGTTCTGCAACCATCAATCAACTACTAAATGTCAGCAGGCAGAGGAGTCTGACCCCCACATACAGCGTGGACCTAAGATACAAGACGGTTCCACAGGAGCATGGTGATCAATCTGATGATATTTAGGTTAGGTCAGGTCACAATCATTTTAAACCATGAGAATAAAGGGTGACCATTGTTGGCACCCCTAGTAGTGTTAAATGTTATCCCAATTCCTATCAGTGTTCACAAGAATCAACTAACACAGGCATTCTGTGGTGCCTGCACTTCAGCATTATTAATTACAGTGCACCTTGAGGAATGTCCTCCCTCTGCTGAAATCTGAATATGCCTTTTAAGGGAACTTTTTATTTTATGCTATTTGGAAGCTGTGCTTTTAATCAACATGGTGAAGTACAGTTGCTTGCCCAGTCAGTCATACACAGAGGGAAATACAATGCTGTACTATTTAAACACTGTATGCATAGTGCCAAAAAAAGCTGTGGCTATTTACATTGTGCAACTGCTTGTTTTTGGAGCTGTCCTTCAGCTACATCAACTCAGAAATAACCAGGAAGCATTAGGGCTTCTTCACACCAAATGCAGAGCAGATCCAGTCAGGTTTCTGCACACGCACGATGCGTTTTTGACGCGTTTTTTTTTTTCTTTTCAGGAAGATAACAATTAGGGCTGCAACAACTAATCGACATAATCGATTATAATCGATTATTGAAAAAGTTGTCAACTTTTTCAATGTTATGAGGTAATTTCCTTTGTGTTGCTGAGGGAATACATATTGCTGAGGGAATACATATGGCATATAATATCACAGACAGCCACACAAGCTGCATGAAAAGCAGCTGCAGGTGTCAGTGAGCAAACAGGCAGTGTGATAAGGAGGAGTGGTGGCGGGAAGGGGGTAGATGGAATACTGCATTTGAGGAACTACTAGTACACAATGCCATTCACATTGAAGTACTCACCACAGCTCTCCTTATCTGTCAACGACATATCCTTATATCCTGGGAAAACTCTCCCTGCTATCAAACTCCCCTGGTATTGTTCTTATATTGAAAGTGTCTGCTGTCATATAGCTCAGGGCACTGTTGAACCATACTTCTGAATCTCTCCAGCTCACAAGGTCACCTTTTCCAAAGACAGGAAGTGACCAAGGAAGATTAGGTCATGACAGATGACCATAGAGGTTTTTTTTCTTTATGGTTATTTTTTTCCATTGAATTGCATTGGGTTGAGTTTTTGATGCGTTCCAGAGCAGATCCAGAGCAGGTAAAATAGGGCTTGCTGCAGTTTTTTCACCTGCCCTGGATCTGCACGCTGCGATGTGAACTGGAGCTCAAAATACCATAGGAATACATTGGACGCAGTTTTGATCCGGTCTGCACCTGCTCTGGATCTGCTCCGCGCTTGGTGTGAACTAGCCCTTAAAGTGGTTTACACATCCCACGTCTTGTAGCCAATTCCCTAAATCTATTGGGGCATAGTTATAAGCATGGAAGGAAAGTCATCAGATTCTGTTTCATGCTATGGGCCAAATCTAATATATTCAATTTGTAACTATGTAAACTTTAATGCTAGCAGTAAAAAAAAAAAAAAAAAAAAAAAAGGGGG